TTTTGCTCTGCAAAAGATCCTGTTAAGAGGAATAATAAGACAGTAACAGAGTGGGTGAAAATATTTGCAAATTATTATCTCACAAAGAACTAGTATCTAATACACATAAAGAACTCTCAAAACTCAACAGTAAAAAATCAATTAATGTAATCAGAAAACAGGCAAAGAACATGAAGAGACGTTTCACTGTAGGGAATATGTGAATAGCAAACCAGCATGTGAAAAGATAATTAACATCATTAGTATCTGGGTAAATGCAAATTAACACCAAAATGAGAGCACTACACAGCTAACAGGATGGCAAGATTTTCAAGTGACAAACCAAGTGTTGGTAAGGAGGCAGAGAAAGAGTCCCTCCTACATAGCTGGTGGGAATATAAAATAGTACATTCATCTAGAAAATGGTGTAACAGCTTCTTGTAAAACTAAACATTTGATTTCTATCTGACCTACCAATTGCACTCTTGAGCATTTATCATAGAGAAATGAAAAACCTGTACCATGTAAAAGCCACACATGAATATTCATAGTGAAACTGGGATTAGCCAGATGTCCTTCAACTGGTGAACTGTTAAACAAAGGTACATGCAAACCGTGGAGTGGGGACATGAGCTTCTAGGTGGCCACTAGAAGCTGAGAATGACAAAAACCAGATTTCCCCCTGGAGTCTGCAGAAGGAACACAGTCCTGCCAACACCCTGATGCTATCTCAGCAAAATGGTGAACACATTAGTTGTATTTTTAAAGAATATCAGATGATCAAAGGAGTTGCAAAATGGCACAGAGAGTTCTCTGTACCCTTCTCTCAGCCTTCCATATGTACATAACCATAATATAACTATCAAGACCAAGAAAAGGCTGTATTCTCTCTTCAAATGTTGCCAGTTCTTCCCTAATGCTCTGTCCCCATCCCCAAGAATCAGTCCAGGATTCCCCATTTGGTTGTCATAACTAGTTAGTGTCTTCCAATCTGCTCCATCTTGCCTTTTATGACCTTGACATTTTGAAGAGTTCTGGTTGGCTGTTTTGTAGAATGTTTTTCAGTTTTGGCATGTCTGGTGTTCTCATATGATTTGATTGAGGTGTCCTTTTTTGCCACATGCTCACAAAGAGGACACGAGGTCACTACGTCTAATAGTTAATTTGATCATGTGCCTAAGGCAACATCTCCACTGTAAAGCTACCAGCTTCTACACTAACATTACTAAATACCTTGGGAGAAATATGTAAAATAGGTGCTGTAAAATATTCAATATCTCCTCAAACTTTCACTTACTAATTTTTCCATCTATTGGTGGATATTTCTTGCAACAATAATTGCTATTGTGTTCTAATAGTTATTTTTTATTTAATTGGAATTGTTCTGGAAGAGTTATGCTTTCTCCACCATTTTTATTTATTTAGAACTCAAATATTTATTTTAGTCTATGGTTAAAAATCCAATGCTATTGTTATTTACTTTGTTCCTCAAATTGTTCCAGCTTTGGCCACACTGGGAACGCTCATTGACTCCTCTGTCTGTTTGACTTGTTCCCATCCCCCACTCTCCTTCATGTTATTTTTCTTAAATAATTTTTCTTGAATAATTTTAGTTCTACAGAAAAATTGCAAAGACAGTACACTGAATTCCTGTATGCCCTTTACTCAGCTTCGGTTAACCATGCTAACTAACACCTTATGTAAATAGTTTATCAAAACTGTGTTACCATAACTAAACTCCAGGCTTTATTTGGGTTTGCCAAATCTTCAACTAGCATCTTTTTTCCATTCCAAGAGCCAATCCAGGGTACTATGTTGAAGGGAGGCCCCCAATCTTTTTAAGCACTTCATTATTTAACACAAGATGTTCCTGTCTCATCTTGTTTTTCCCTGCCCAGCCCTGTCATCCACCACTTCTCTAGGGAGCCCCACCCAGGGAGTTCTGAAAATCTCCAATGCCCAGGCAGAACCCTAGATTAACTCAGGAGTCTTGGCATTTATGCTTTTAAAACCTCCCCAAGTGGGGCTGGCAGAGTGGCACACATGGTAGAATGCCTGTCTAGCAAGTATGAGGCCCAGAGTTCAAACCCCAGTACCACCAAAAAAACAAAACTTCTCAAAGTGATTCCAGTGTCCACTCAAGACTGGGAACCACTCATCTGGACCTTACTTCTGGTGACTAAAGAATAGTTAAATTAATAGTTAAATATAAAATCCCCAAATATCAATGACGCCAGTGTATTTTCCAGCAAGATTTATGCTCCCTGAAAACAAGGGACTGTTTTGTTCATTTCTTTGATCAGCAGTGAAAGGTGCTCAGAAATGCTAAGTGAATCAAAACTGAACAAGCAAGCAACATCTTGGCTTCCTTAGAAAAACTAGGCTAGGCCTGACTTTTTTTTTTTTACTAATGTCCCATCCATCTAGTTCTATTTGCTGCTCTAAGGATTATACTGAACCCCAAAATCGTGAGTCCATGTAAGGGAGGCAGCATGAAGGCTCCCCACTACAAAGCCATAGGGCAAACTTTGGGGCAGAAATCATTGCATCGCTTCCCTGCAAGGACCCCACTGGGTCAACTCCCCTTATTAAGTCCTCCTCCATCACTTTTTTCTCCAATAACTTTTAAGCAATGCATCAGAAAAGGCAGTGTCATCTTCTTCATTTCCTTTGCTCTGTCCCTCCTCTCTTCTTCTGATCTGTTTCAATGTCAAGTCCTGCATAGAGCTACAAAGGGCAGAGTCTCTGGAGCTGATCACACCAGAGTCAAATCCCAATTCCCCCATTTACATACATACTTGGACAAGTAACTGATCCTGACCCTGCTTCCTAGTGTATGCAATGGGGATAGTTAACACCTGCCTTGAAGGACCAATGTGGGAGGTCAAGAGAACATTTTTGCTTACCCAGCACAGTATGTGCTAAGAAACAGCAACTGTGGCTGTCACTGCTGCTAATGTTATCATTATCAGGAGCAAAAATCAGTTTCCTAAATCGCTCACTATCATTTGGAAGAGATAAAGCAAGGCAACAACTTCACCCATCTGTCCAGTGATCTAGAAACCAATAGAAGTTCATTTAGAATCTGCAGAACCTCATCCTGAGGAATCCTGAGGAAATGGTCAAAATTGCATAAAGACAAATTCAGCTAAAGTAATTATCTACTGACACCCCCCCATCTGTGTGCCTCGCCAACAGATAAGAGGAACTAATATTTGGGGTAGGGGGTGTGGAAGTCTTCAAAGTGACTTGATTTGCTCCATCTTATTTAATGCCTTACAACCTCAAAGTGCCTATTATGACCACTTCCCACCCGAGGCAACTGAAGTGACATGGTTTAGTCACAGAGCTAGTAAGTGACAAAGCCAAGAATCATACACACGTGTTTTTCTGGCTCTCACAGTCTCATGGTTTCTACCTCTTGTTTTGGTTTTTCTGTTTGTTTGTTTTTGTTTTTTGTTTTTCTGGTTATTAGTGTCAGAAGAGCATACTCACTTCTACATCTGTTTGAAGCAGAAGATTTTTGTTTTGCTTTTGTTTATGGTGATACTGGGGATTGAACTCAGGGCCTTAACCTTGCTAAGCAAGCAGCTCTAACACTAGAGTCACACCCCAAAGTCCTTGAAACAGGAGTTTTAAAGAAAAGACTTAAAAGGCTGAATTCATAGAAGAAAATGCCTAGTGGAAACATTTTTGGCCAGTAAGAGTATTTGTTTCCCTGGCAACTTTTTTTGTCCCAACAACTGAACAATCAACCAACTTTCCAATCAGCCAACATCAGAGCCGTGGGTACACCAGGAAGGATGCACAGACTCTTTGTGCAGTGCAGTGCTAAAAGGCAAACTACCCTACTGACTCTAGTGCACATGGGGTCAAAGGTCAAAGGAGAGAGGTCTGGGAAAAGTCTGCAGGAGGAGGAGTCCATCTGGACTGACTGACCGTGTGAGCTCCAGATGGGGAAAGGCACCAGAAATGGTGCTGCTGGAGGGAAATTATAACCAGAAAGGTCAAGAGGAGGAAACAAGAGTAGAATGTGCCGACTGTGAACACAGCATGCCCCAGTCCAAATTTGTTTTCTAGGAGCACTGACAAATAGGGTCAAATAAATATAGGGTCATCCTGAGTCTTTCAGGCCATGACAAGCAGCAGAATTTGACCACCTGCTGAGCAGTTAGGAGCTGCAAAGGTTTGGGAACTAAGAACACTGTAAGTTTGATGCTTAAGTGAGTTCTAAACATTTGCAAATTACCTTAGCACTAATTCAAACTAAATAGAATACTAAGTTCTATGTTTTTTTTTTTAAAGAAACTACTCAAGGCTTTCATTGACACCACAAAGTGACCAGGACCTTGAAGTATTATAATGAGAAATTAATTTCTTTTAAATGCCATTTGACATGAAGAAACACCAACAGGTCAGGAACTGCAATTTTGGAATAAAGCAAGTAGTTACAAGCAATGAGGAGCGTTGCAGAGAAAATTATGTAATCTTACTGGCAGAGAAAATGCCCCAAGCCAAATACTTTTTAAATGGTATGGAGTATCATTTTTCTGTAACGACCAAGAGAAAAATCTAATTTTCCTTAAGGCTTGTACACAATATGAAACTTGCAAAATATATCTGAGTAAATTGTGTTTTGTTAAAATTTTTAATTACTTTTCTTTACTTGGCACATGTAGGAAGACTGAGACCCTTTCATAGCAGATGAGATAAATAACAAAATGCACAAAGCTTTGTTAACCTTTAAACGATCTTAATGACTTGTCTTTCTAGATTGTCCTGTGGCTATTAGGAGAGAGAGCTCCAAACAGAATGCAAGCCGTTTCTTCCCTTTGGGTTGTAGGGGATAGAGATTTAAGAGTTGAGAATATTTTTCCAAACAGATATATAAGATGTTCTCTACATATATTTCAACTCCAAGCCCTGGGAAAGTGTTTTTTGGGTTTTTTTTTTTTTTTTTTTTGCCATCTTAATGTATATTTGAGGAACAAACAATCAGATGCATTATAATTCATACGTACCTGTGAGCAAGCAAGGAATCAAAGCATAGAAAGTCCACGTGGTAAGACTTGTCCAGATTCCTTCTAGAACCATTGTGAGGGTCTGTGTTTGGCAGACTTCACTTGACCTGGAATGTCATTTCCTTCCAGAATGAAGCATTTTGTCCTCCTCAGCCATCTTGCTTCAGAGGGCAGATGTTGGAGCTGACATCTGAGTTGCACCACAGTCTAAATTGTTCTGAGCTGGCACACACAGCTCAGAAGGGGCGGGCACCCTCCTTTCTGCTCAAACCCAGATATTGCATCAAGAGGTGTGGCCTGGGAGAATTCCAGAGGGAAGGTGGCTCCGGGGAGCTTGAGAATCTGGCTGGAGAAGATATCTGGGCCACAGGCTCTATCCTGGGGGCCCTGGGTGTCCCCAGAAGCCAGTGTGAACAGAGTTATCTTCCCCCCTTATCAAACAGCTGTGCTCTTTTCAAGTCTACCTCTGTGACTTCACTGAAGTTCTTCTTGCTACTTCACTTCAGAAAAAGTAGAGAAGTTTAAAAAAATCAATAGCTTTTTAAAAGCTAATATGTAGTTTCATATTTGCACGTATATGTGAAAAGAAAGCCCTAGAAAATCTAAGAAACTAGTAAGATTGGTTACCTTGAGGCAGACAAGTGTGAAAACTGGAAAGATGGAGATAAAAACGGGAGTAGGACTCTTTTTCTGAATATATTTATGTAGTGATTGATTAGTGAATCATCTAAATGATTTATTGAAAAGTTGAAACCAGTTTTAAAAATTGTAAGGAATCTCTTATGATAAAATTTGAACTTCAATTCTTCAAGGACTTTTAAACACACATTGAAGTACAAATAGAATGAACACAGGCTTTAGGGTAGAATATATTTTGGTTCCAGATTCAGAACTCATTTGCAATGTAGCTTTGGGAAGGTCATTCATTTATTTATTCATTCAACAAACATTCACTGAGGGTCTTCTATGTGCTAGCTCTGGGGAATTCAACAGTCTCTGCCCTCCACAAGAACTTCCCAACTAGTGAAGAAGATCCACATGGGAGTCATCATAAATAAATACTGAAAATGCAGTGACAGAAATATCCACTAAGGAGAAACATCTAACCCACCCTGGGGGATCACAGAAGGCTTCCTGGAGGAGGTGACTTTGGGGCTATTAAACTGAAAAAAATGTCAGCTAGGCATCCTGTTTAGGAAACCATAAGAAGTTTGGTGAAACTAAAGTGACAAGAAATGGAGCTCAAAGGCAGACAGAAACAGACTCTAAAGAGGTTCCAATGTCTAGTTGAGGGGCTTTGAGTTTATTCTGACAGCAATGAAGGCTCAAGTAAAGATTTAAAGCTCAGACCTGACCACGGCATTCCCTGCCTTTGAACAAGCAGTGCCCAGAGTGAAGCAAGCCGTGAAGAAGCCACAGTGGAGGGGCTCTGGCAGCCATGGAGGCAAGAGACGTTGGCTTACATGGTTTCCTATGCTCATGGAGAGATGACCAAATGCAAAAGATACAGGAGGCAGAATTTCAGCTCGTAGGTAAGAAATGGATGGGAGCACCAAGGAAGGGGAGCCAAACATGACTGTCAGGTTCTGGTTTGAGTAGCTGGGTGGAGGCAGCACCTCACCTGAAAGAACAGAGAAGGGTGGAGTGGAGTCAAGGACAGGCAGGATGGGAGGGTGCAGAAAACGCTGCATGCACTTAGCTCGATGTACTTAAATTTGAGATGCTTCTGTGGGTAGGGAAAGTCGTAGCCCGTGTATAAATAACCTGTGTCAAGTTAATGGGTGTCAAGTGCACGGTACCATCTCCTCTGCTCCAGCACTTCACTGGTAGTGGGTGAGCGCATCTAAAGGGAACATGTGGATAAGGGGGCTGAGAACCTACTCACGTTTGCAGACCAGGGCAAGAAAATGAAACAGGGAGACAGAAGGAAAAGAGAAATAGGTCAGAGAAGTGGTCCTGGAAACAACGAAGGATGAAGTGATTATCGAGGCAGAGAGCAGAAGACAGGACCAGTGAGTTAATCACTGAAAAATGTCTCCAGATTTAACAATTGCAAAGTCATTTGTAACCTCATCCAGGAGTTTCCACAGAAGCCTTGGTTGGCTCAGGACCTAGATAATTGTGGATTGAGGAGTAGATGGAAAAAGTAATGTTCTTTTAAAACAAAGAGGAAGAAAACAAATCCACGAGCCTCATTCTTTTCATTTATAAAATAAGCACAATAATGTCTTACAAAATAGGGAAATACCATTCATAGAAGGCACATTAGCACAGTACCAGGAAGGCAGTAGGTCTTCGCCAATGGTACAACATTTGCTGTAATAACCACAGTAAACGAGGGACTATTTGCTCTTACTGGCTGGCCCTTTGCTGGCTACCTATCTGTGGGTTTGGCCTCTGGCAAAGCAAAGGAAACCTTCCAGTTGGAAACATTTACTTAAACGTAGTTAAAAGCACTTGCTAGTTGTGTTTCTTTGGGCAAGTCATTTAGACTGTCTGCCTTTGTATTCCTGTCCCTAAGTTGGGAACAGTTATAATGGCATCTAACTTATAGGGGTGTGAAGAGGACTAAGTCAGATGTACACTTAGAAGAGGATCTGGCAGAGTAGAGGCCCAATAAATGCTGGTTGTGCATTTCTTATACTGCACCACAGTCAAGAACACTCAGAACACTTGGTGGTGTTTGCTTGGACCCCAGCACTGAGTCAGTGGCCACCATATCTGTGCCAGCTTCTGGTCCCTAACTATTTGCTCGTCTCTCAGCTCCCCTGGCATCCAATCCTGTCCTGCCTTCCCTTTGGCTGTAAGCACAGCCCAACTTGGAGTGCTTTATAGGTGCTTCATACATGGCCTCGACATCTGTCTCCAATCTTACCCCTGTTCTCCCAGTCTTGGCTTCCTTAGTTTCCCCTAAACCTACTTCTAGTCAGTTCCAATGTGTCAACGGCTAACAATGTAAGCCAATGTGCATGAGTTTTCCGCTAGCTACCGTGTCTTTCCACGTTATACACATTTCTCATTATAAGACAGATTTGCATGGTAAGATTTGGTTTTCAATGTACCAGATTACGACACAGGGCCCAGAGGAATTGGTTCGCAATAGCTAGACAGGGATGGAGACAGAAGTCCAAATGACGTCTGCTTAATTCCAAGTTCTTTTCACTCACATAACCACCTCTCAGTACCAAAGAGGTGCTCACAATGTATCTGAGGGGCACAGTGCAGTGTGATCCACGAGTCCAGCAAAGCAGACCTCCCAGCATGTACCTATATAGATTTGAATAGTAAAGAAAAGATCAATATTGAGCAATCCAGTTGGGAGAATGACAAGAACCAAGCCCAAGGATGGAAACATGGAGGAGAATACACGCTGACTTAAAGGACAAGAAGGAAAAGGTAAGTAAACAGAGGCAGTGTAAGAAAGAACAAAAACCACAGAGTTGTGCAGTAGGAGAGTTGTTCACTGAACCTTGAAGTCTTAAGACTTATGTCCTTGCCAACACAGCCCTGCCCAGCACTGCCAACCATTCCCTCACAGGTCACTCAGCACACCTAAATAGGCACTGAGGATTTAAAGCCATTGTCCTATCATCGCTTTCAACCACAGTCCTTTTCAAGCCTGGGTCATGATCCAACAAGAAACTCAGACCATCCACCTCTGCCTGGACCATATCTCTGGGCAAGGACTCCTGGACGGCTATGCATTGCCTACTAAACTCCACCCTCACCTGGATCCCTGCCTCTGAACTTGCCCTTCTCTTCTAGCTTTGTACTTCTCTCCATACCACCTTATCCACTGGTTCTGGTCTCGTCCATGCACTATGCCAAATTGTCCTCTATCCTGTCACCTTAACTTCTTGGTTTTTTTTCAGAGTTGGAGGCTCATCTATATCTGAAGATGAACTGCTGGGAGAACGAACCTATTTCCTACCCTAAGCAGGTACAGTCTAGAAATAGATGTTTTCCTATTACAGTCCTTGCCACGCAAATCTGATATCTACTTATGGAAGGAAAAGCAAGCAGATAAAAGGGTTTTATGGAAAGATAAAGAGAGATGAGGAGGGAGTCTGATGGCCATAGAAGAGACTCTTACGCTCTTGGTGCTCCAAGGGTGGGACTAGCATGAGAGGGGAGCACCAAGGGTGCAAAGTTGGGGGGAGGCACACATTCTTAGGATTGTGCAAGTTCAGGATGGGTCCTGGCACCCAGGCACATACTGCACTGTTAATTTCTGTTTCTGTAACCATCCCTCTCCCTACTTGGTACAGGGTAGTTCCTTCCCTTTGCATCAAGATTTCTAAATGTTTATGTCCGGTGTTTTAGCCCAACTGACATTAGTTGTAATCCATTGTCCGTTTTTTTTTTTTTCTTTTCCTTGAAGTAACACAGGGAATTTAAAATGTTGAATTCCTTTTGTCTTAGATTCCTATAACTGCTTCCACAAAGAATGTTCCAGTTGTTATTTATTTTTTTTTTTGGTGGTACTGGTGATTGAACGCAGGGCCTCAAGCCTGTTAGATAAGTGCTTTACCATTTGAGCCATACTCGTAGCCCTCTGCTTTAGTTTGTTCTTAGATAGGGTCTTGTACTTTTGCCTGGGCTGGCCTCAGACCATCCTGCTATCTCCATCTCCCAAACTGGGATTACAGGCTGTGCCACCGTGCCCAGTCCAATTTTTTTCTTTTTTGCATTTTTTTTGGTGATTTTTTTTTATTGTGCTGGGTGGGGGTACATTGTGGCATTTACAAAAGTTTTTATATCACTTGAATTCACCCCTCCACCACTCTCCTTTATCCCCTCCTCCCCTCATTCTCAGAATAGTTTCAACAGGTCTCATTTTTACATTTACACATACGTGTACACAGTATTTGCACCATATTCACCCTCCCACACCCTTTCCCCACCATCTACCCCCTCCCACTGGTACCGATTCCCCGGGTCCAATTTCTACTCACTCTCAAGCTCAAATTTTGTGAACTCGTGTCCCTTCTGCACTTCCACTGAACGTTCTTTTTCCATTTTCCTTCCTAATATTTCTTGTCTAGTCATCAAGAATTTAACATCCTTAGACCTCAATTCCTTCCTTAGGGTATAATGAATTAAATTAAATTTGCCAAAAGTGTCATCCTTCTGTAGTCAAATTGTTGTTTTTCTATGTACCACCACCCAACAACTCCTCTTTTAAGATGGGAGAATCAGGTTTATTCAGAATGGCCTTTTGTAGTTAAGAATTCCACATTTAAGTAAGCAAATACTATTTTAATCCATTTTAAAATTTGAAAACCAGAAACAATGTTAAGTGAAGACCTACCTAACTTTCAAATGATTTTGATTGCTGTGTTTCATTCAATCACTGGTTAATACTGTTAAATGGAGCATACCATATGCTCAAAGATCAGTTTCATCAGTCTTCTTTTGATCAGCCTATATAAACCCTTGACCTTATTCTACAACCTTATCAACTGGCTTTACTTTTTTTGGGGGGGGGAGGATTGGGACTGGGGTTTGAACTCAGGGCTTCCTACTTGCAAAGAGGGTGCTCTGCTGCTCAAGCCACACCTCCAGTCCATTTTGCTCTGGTTATTTTAGAGATGGGGTCTTGAGAACTGTTTGCCCGGGCTGGCCTCAAACTGTGATCTTCCCAATCTCAGTCTCCCAAGTAACTAAGATAACTGGCACTCGGCTTCTATTTTTAAATCCATAACTCTTTTCATTAAGCACTGCATAATCCATAAAATGTAAGTTTTGTTAAAGTTTTGTCCATTTTCTTCACTATTATATTGCTAGGTGAGAACAGTCTCACACCTGAGCAATCAAATATTTGAAATGAGTTGGCACTTAGCACTGTAGACTGGGACCAAGCCTTCAGCACATGGGCTTTGGGGGACATTTAGGATCCAAACTACAACGGTTCAAAAATATTCTTGACACCAAGTGATTATTATATGCCTCAATGAAATCAGTATTTATTCTCTGCAACACTTACCTATCTATAGTCTAGAAAGCATATCAAAACAAGTTTGTGTGACATCATTGGCTCTAGAAGAGCCAATCTTAATCAGGAGTTACTGATTTCCTTTGTCAGTGTTTGAACATAACAATTTAATAACCATTCCTGTGCTTAGCCTTATGTTTGGATAGACATTTAACTCTCTTTCTGGAATCCATCATTTTGTCTCCAAAACGTCCCACAGATATCTGCAGTTTCTCCATAGTCTAAGATGTAAATATCTGAGCCCAAAAGTTCATTTAAAGGAACTAAGTATCTTACCTATATTAAACACCTGGTTTTAAGTGTATACTTAGGTTTGTTTTCCTCTTTGAAAGTCATCATTCTGCTGGTGAAGTGGCTCAAGTGGTAGAGTGCCTGCCTAGCAAGCATGAGGCCCTAAATTCAAACCCTAGTACACACACACACACACACACACACACACACACAATTCATTCAATGAGGCACAAGAAAACATGGCAAGAATAAATTGAGTATTGTACCTTTTGTAGTTACAACTGCAAAAAAATTCTGCACCATTATTCTGAAAAGAGTGAGATGAGCCTTCCCTGTGTTCTAAGTTTAAGCAGTTTGAGTGGAAACATTTAAAAATCAGTGCCAAGAGCACTTGCTGCGCGCATATGGGTCCTTGATTTGATCCCTAACACTGTAAAAAAATAATGGCCAGCCTTGCAAGTAATTTAAATGTTTGCATAAACCATTGTAGACATCAGGCCAATTTTGACCCATTTGATATAAAGGCACTTTGGTTTAAAAACACAACATTCTGGGAACATGGTTAATGATAACTGAAATCTTCCTGCTGCTCTTGGTTCTACTCATTAAACAAGTCTTGGCAAATTGTGTGTACTTTCAGATGAAAGGAGCACTTCATAAGTAAAGTAGAAGCAAACATTTTCTCAGTTGGCTCAGCTCCTGTAACAGCAAAGAATCAGGGTGTGGAGTGCATACACTCCGATTGCCTGACAAGTGCTTAGAATATAGCAGAACTGAGTCACAAACTTGCCAAACACCAACAGAACCAGCTTATCCAAGAGAGAAGCAATCCAATGCTTCCTACTTTACAACAGAACCAAATAGCTACTCAGTAGGCAGGGCCTGGGAGTACCTCCTCAGCTCAAGGCCAGACTGAGCAGTAAGTTAGCAAGCTCCTATGGCGACAAATAAACTGGGCATGGTGGTGTACATCTGTAATTCCATCTTCTTAGGAGGCACAGGTAGGAAGATCAGTCCAAGGCCAGTCTTGGGAAAAAACACAGGGCCTTATCTGAAAACTAACCTAAAGCAAAAAAGGCTGTAAGCATAGCTCAAGGGGCAGAGCATTTGCCTAGCAAGTGTGAGGACCTGAATTCAAACCCCTCAATAACACCAAAGAAAAGTTTTTCCCAGAATCAGTAATTTGATATTTTAAAAAATGTCTATTGGATGCTATTCAGAACACAAAATGAGGATATCATCTATCCTGTATAAAACTCCTTCAAGGAAAGTGAACACAGTAGTTAAATTTTTGATCTATACTCATTTATCTTTTAGTAAAGTGTTAAAATGGAAAAGTTAATGCTACGCTGTTAATTCACGGATTTGGACACCTGAAGTGTTTCTGAAAAATGAGAATTTCTAGATTCCAAGCCCCAAACTCTCCATGTAACAGGAAAAACAGAAGTAACGGTAATTGCATTTGGAGATACACACTCGGGGATGGGGGCTGGGGACAGAGACTGTGTAGGTTGAACAGTACTCCTGTATAAGGCCACTGTGTTTGGCTGTACCCTGAATAAGGCGCCCAAGAGGTAGGGGGTGATATTCCAGACTTTTTTTGACAAGGCAAGGATTGGGCCTGCCGGGACAAAAAGGTACCTTTTCCTGATTCTCACAAAGGTTCTACTTAGGCCACAGTGACCTCTGCAACTCTGACAGAGCATTACTGCTGGGAATACTTTTAAGTGCCATGTATCCAACAAGGGTGACCCTACTATCTGTCAGGCCTTTGGAATCTTCTGGCCATGGCAGTGCGCTCAGCCTTCCTAGTCTGTTCAATGATGTTCCAATCAAGCAGTTATTCTGTCTAGGTGCAAGTGTTAACATGAGCAGTGATACATGTGTAATATCCACGTATAGATAGGCATTTGACCAAACCCTAAGGATATATGACCAAATAAGGAATATAACAGCAATAATTTTTCTTTGCATTATTTAGCTTACATATATAATGTTCTTTAAAAAAAGCCTCTCCAAGATTTTGGAGAAGTTATTTGTAGAGGTGGGTAGAGCACTTACATGTGCTATGAATGTTTAAATTTGGTAACTAATCATTTCCTATGTGGAAGAAAACGTCTGTAATACTGCTTTTCCCAGGATCCTTAGCTCCTCCTACTCTAAACTAGCACAGAAAGGGCGGTGTCACACACACACCACCAGGCTGGGAACGAGGAAACCTGGTTCCTAATGCAAGTCCTGTCGCCTAGCTATGTAGCTGTTCACCAATGCTGTTCTAATTCAAGTAAAATTCATGCTTATAAAACTGCCACTGTTGCAAGAATCAGTTTAAGACTTTTTAAAAACTGACAAAACGTTGAAATACAAAGTAAAGTGTTTCCAGAGCGGTTTCACAACAGGTACCACTGTCACAACAGTTATTATTTCTGGGAACTCTACAGCTACAACCAATCTACCAGGGGTGTGCACCCTGCTTCAGAGCTGCTCGATTCCAAGCTACTTCTCAAAATTCTGCTCTGGTAATATCAGCTCAGCAGAGATTTTCTGTAAATAGCTCATCTGTGACACAAAGCAGTAATTGCTCCTTTAAAATAAACATTTTTTCCATAAGGACTGAGGTAGAGGGACCAAAGGGAAAATTAAAAAGGAAGCATCATCAAATGCATGTTAAAAATTCAAAGATGTTACCTAGTCATTCTACAACCACTTTTAAACTGTTTTCCTCAATTAATATTCATGGGATTTTATAGCAAAAGAAGGTAAAGCACATATAACTTTTATTTCCTTAATTACCGTAATAAACAAAGGAGCATTCAAAGATAATGAAGTATGAGTTTAAAGGCTTTAAAAGCAGTGTAATAAAGATGAAAATTTATATAACAAAGTCTTATTTGTATTTGTTGACATCGCAAGCTTAGTAGGAGAAACCAGGGCTGCCACCCAGTGGTAACATTAGTCTTCAAATGATTTCAACAGTTAAAATAAAAAATTTTAATGAAACAATGAATGAAAAAACTCTTTAAGTTACATAACTTCTATTTTACCATTTGTAATTCTGGTGTTTATTTACAATAGCAAAGAATGGAAATAGTCATATGCTTAGGCAGAAGATGGGGACATTTTTGAAAATATGACTTCCTATTGTTTACTAAGTTATGCAGTTTTAATAAATATTTTCAATTAAAATACTGATGTACTATGCTTAAATTTAAATCTCCAGAATAAAGAGGACAAAAGTGTGACTATGAAATATAACTAACTGGTTTTCTTCAGCAGCCGACAGAAGATTAAATACTTACAGTGTCCTCTCATCCCTACACCCAAACTCTTAGTTGATAAAAACTAATATTTAAAAAATAATATAACTTTATCTAACTATAAGCATATTTCATTTTCCCCTTAGATATACAACAATTTTGGTGTCCCAGTCAACAAAAGTCAAAGCTGAAAGGAGGTCTGGGGATGTAGCTCATCACAGCACCTGCTTAGCATGTGAAGGGTCTTAGGTTCAATCCCCAGCATGACAGAACATAAAATAAAAATAAACTTTATCAGCTATATGGGGCTGCAAGGCCCTGCATTTGCTCCTCAGCACCAGAAAACACAACAAAATAAAGAAACACACAACCCTCACATATCTCATTGTCTGTAACTGAGGTCACACTGGCATATAACACGTTCCAAAGAAGATGCTTTGGTAAAGTAACATTAGGAGAAAAGGAACATGACAGCATCCATTTTCAGCTTTAAAAGCTAACTATGTCAGAGATTGTTTTGTTCCCTTGAATAAGCAGATGAGAAAAATCACCAATAAATTATTTAAAATTTAGTGAGTTTTGTTTCAGTACTTGAAAATTAAAATCGTACAAGATGCTTCCTACCCTATGTCCTGTCCACCTTGTACACTGAACACAATGACTGAATTTTTAAAAAGAATTGTATATACAACATACCTGGTATTTGTAATGACTTGTGACAAATACAATTCTTGAAAATAATTTCTAATTTCCCATTTATTATTGCTATGTAGTCACAGAAAAGATTAACGCTCTCCAAGAAATTTATTTTAGCATATGCCATAGATAGCTATAACCTGATCTGACGAGAAACCATGGCAGAACTAATAGGGTGCCTTTACAAGGAAATAAAGGAATTCTCCCATATAAAGACTTCTGATCTGCAGTATTTACTTTTTTTTTTTTTTCCAAAATACAAAACCTTAGTATTAGACATAAAGAGAAAAACAGCAAAGAAGAGAACAGTAAAACAGAAGACCAAGGATAAAGAACTGTTCTATGCAGGTGCACTGCATATGTAGTTGATATGCATGGGCTTAGTTATAGTAAAAATACTTATGTATTATAGTCAGTTCTCACACAGTTAGAAACAGCAATTTCCAATTGAGCACAATCGAGCCAACATTTTCTCAGTCTTCAATTGCATGACAAATTAAAGCTGTACAGCAGTCACTTCTGATCAGCAGTATCATGACAAATGTTTGACAAGATACAACTTTTCTCCTTGATCACTTGTAAAAATTGGTGCCTTTTTGTAATGTTCTACAAGTTCTTCCATGGTGCTGAATTTACGCTGCCCAATGCAGTAGACAGTCTCTTTCAGTTGGACTTTAAAATGTTTGTTTTTCCCTTGTGCTTTTAGTGATACTGAGAAATCATTTGGCTAAAAGAGAAAAAACAAATAAGGGTAAACATTTTGAAAGCCATGTACCAGCATTTTTATATCAAAAAACTGCTAACTGCTAAAATCAGAACGCTAAGTACTAAGAACCATGTTAAATTATTTACATATATTATCTTCTTTACTCCTCAAAACAAACCCCTTTAACAGATGAGAAAACAGAGGCTCAGAGAAGCTAACTTGCCCAAGATTACTTATCTACTTAGTGGCAGGACTCAGACCTTAGTGGCCAAAGCATAATACATTACCACAGCAAATTCTTCAGTTTACTACCTGTGGCAAAAGAGAGCTATTTTCTCTCCAGATGGACTACTGGAGAAGCATATGAGAAAAATCCCAGACATCGCCCCATCCCATTCCAATTTATAGCTAAGAGTAGTACAGAGTTACTTAGTATTATAAGTATAGTATAAGAATTACTTCTATAGCTATAGAAGTAACTGAGGGATAATACTCTGAATTCTCAAAAATCAAGAACACACAAATAAGAACTCATCTAAACTCTAATGAAAGCTGCCAAACTCAATGCCTACAATAGCAAAAGAGTTATATAAACAGGTGCTAGATGGACAGAGGAAATGACATTGTTTGCCTAATCTACAAGGTGGACACTTCTCTGAGATGGCAGTCTTGCAGGAAAATAGGGTCTCAGGTTGGCAGGTTTTCCAATTTTAAAAGGAAATCTGAAGTCTGGATTTTTACAATAAATCTCCCAATATTTAAATATTGACAATGAACTGAAAATGTGTAAAAACCATTGTGCGGGCCAAACAAAATATGCCTATTCAAGACCACTAACTATTGCTAAAAATAATGATATATTTAGACTAATACCTATGTTCTACTCACAAGAAAACATAGTACTCTGTATTCAAGTTATTACTTTTTTTCTTTTTTGGCAGTACTAAGGTTTGAACTCAGTGCCTCCCCTTTACTAGGCAGGCATTCTACCACTTGAGCCACTCCACCAGCCCTTTTTGTGTGGTTTCTTTGAACTATCTGCCCGGACTGACTTCTCACTGAGATCCTCCTGATCTCTGCCTCCTTTTATAGGTGTGAGTCACTGGTGCCCACGTTAAAACAGGTTTTTGAGGTATATAAAAAATAAAAGTGTATTTTAACTTCCAAACAATTATGAAGAAACTTAAGTATCAATTTTTTATTTGGAATTTCCTGTAAAGACTATAATGCTTATCTTCTTATATATCGCATCTTATGGTAAATTTGAGAAATTTTTTCCCGTTTAACCTACTTCATTATTCTACTCTCAGTGAAGAGACCAATGCTCAATTTTTTTCATTTATCAGTTTAATGCAACAGAAAATATTCCAGGAATGCAAAACCAACACAACTGGTTAAGGCCAGAAAATCCAGTATTGCATTACTGTTCCAGCTATCTTTTATTCAAAGTAACACAGCTGGACAGGACACGGACTGTAGCTCCAGAACAGTTCTGACTACCCTGTGTGAAGCTTGTTTGCTTTAGGGGAGCCCCTGAACCTCTCCAGTCCTACTGCTGAACACCCAGAGCTCTATTTCCGGGTACCTCTGAAAATCAACTTACCGAAGATTCACTATCACGAATGAGAAAATCTCCTTCATGCCCTCTTTCATTTAATGCCATTTCTGCTTGATGCCTGGTGACTTTGCCGTAATACCACGGATTGCCAGCAAACTTTCCAGTGAGCGCAGGCCGGATGTAATCACACTGGGGAGGTGATGGTTCCAAGCCTGAGGTTATTGGGTTATTCTGCATAATGGTAACATAGTTTTTTGGCACCAGACCAACCATTCCATTGATCTTCCTGCATTTCCACCACTCTGGATCATTTTCTGGCTTTTCAATAACATCCATTATATCACCTTTCTCAAAATTGAGTTCTTCATCGTTGGACGAGCTGAATGGATAAAGAGCTTGTACCACATGCAACACTTGCCCAGTATTTAGATTATTGACAACTGCTGCTAATTTCTCTGAAAGAGAACCCACATGGTCACCCAAAGGACTATCACCTTCCTCAGTTACATAGTTTGAAGGGAACCATCCAATTTGTCCATTGTAGCTGCCACGCCACCACCCATCACTGCATTTCTCCATGACGATCACCTTCGTCCCTTTTATCAGTGACAGTTCATCCTCTCTCTCAGCCATGTAGTTAAACTTCACATAGGCAGGCATGTTGAGGTCATAGAGACGTTCTCCTGGGTCAACAAAGCTATCATCAGCCGGAGATGCAGTGTCTGGCACACTAGGTTTCCTTTTCACTTTTCCAATGCCTGTTTAAATAAAAAAGAAGTAATGAGAATATAAAAGGCTCTTCAACTCTATATAGTTCTTCTAAGCCTCTAAATGTAGGCAACAAATTTCTATGTGTACAATCAAATTCTCTTTCCATAATCAAAGACAATTTCAGTTATGAGATAGTTTATTGTCTTTTCTTTTGCAAAGGCTTGCAATAATTACATAAAGTTGCCCTAAATTAATGAGCTTTCTCTAAAATGTTAATGTCATAGTTACAACCCAATTACACAAAGGCTCCAGAAAACCCATATTCATCTCATCTTAGTTTATTAACCTTGTTTTCAGGGCTGGGCATTGTGATGCACATCTGTAATCCTAGTCCCTGGGGATGCAGAGGTAGGAGGATCACTAGTTCCAGGCCGGCCCAGGCCAAGTTCATGAAACCCCATCTCAAAAGTAAAATACAAATGAAATGGGCTGGGAGCATGGCTCATGTGTTACAGCACTTGCCTGGCACAGGTGAGACCCTGGTTCAATCCCCAGTATAGATATGGGGAAGGGGTAGACAGGTCATGGGATAGAACAAGCTTTTATGACTAGCTACATTAAAAAAAAAAAAAAAGATTTAAACTAGATCTTGATGTGCACTATAAAATTATAGTTGTATCAGTAATCTTATTGCTTTCTGGTTTTAATGTTGTTGTGGTTTGTCTGTGGTTTTCATTTTTTATTTTTTGCAATGCTACAAGATTGACCCCAGGACCTGTACACAGTAGGCAAGCACTTCGCCTCCCCAGTGCTTGTCTGTGCTCTTAGTGCCCAGAAGCAGGTGGTTTTAGTCATTGCATGTTTCTTTTAAAACAACGTATTATTCACTTATTTACCTCCCTTTACCCCATTCACAGGCAACCTCCACAAACACAGAGGTTTTTTTTTACTTTGTTCACAGATATAATCCTAAGAACCTTACAGAGTACCTCGTACACAATCAATGCTTAGTGTATGTTTGTTGAAAGAAATGAGAAAACCACCAAATGGTGCTATCATCACAAATGCAAGCTACATCAGTGCAGCCAGGCATTCTCAGGATTGCTTATTTCTTAGAATGTGATCTGATCTTTTGCTTTACCTTGAAAATGGGAACTTTTCTAAGTGCAAGTTCTCAAATTCCTTCTCACATATGAAAACTCTTATTACCCTCACTCTCTTTGCCCAGCCAAGTCCCTAAACTCTGACCACCCCCCCTCAGTTTTGGGGCAGTACTGGGGATTGAACTTAGGGCCTCAAGCTTGCTAGGCAAGCACTCTATCACTTGAGCTATGCCCCAGTCCTTTTACTTTTTCAGTTTGTTTTTCAGATAAGGACTCGTACTTTTGCCCACCTCCTGAGTAGCCGGGATTGAAGGCATGTGCCACCATACTGGCTCTTTTAGGTTCTTTCCTGATGCTTTTGGAACTCTTCACTATCTTTGTTTCCCTCTTATTCATTCTCATCAATTATCTAAAAACACATTCTAATCTTTTCAACTCCAAAATAAAGTTACTTTAACTTTGCTATTCTTTTAAAACCACATTATTCTTTAAAAAATTGTCTTCTACTTTTCCTTCAACTTTTTTACCACTTGCTCACCTTCCTCTTTATAATCTGATTCTGTTTCCATCACACTATGAAAAATGTCTGACTAAAACCTTTTTTATGAAAACTGTGCCATCCTCCATAACTAGAGTCCTAAGCCAGAGTCCTGACTCTGGGGGTTCCCAACAAATTAGGTCCAACCCCTGGTCCCAGAAATCACAGAAAATAATGGTGGGAAATGATTTTAGTCAACATGGCTATGTTGGAAAGATGGACATCATGCGTCTCAGTCCACCTTGGGGAACTGACACAAGTTTTAGGTTCGGTCAGAGGAGGAACTGGGGCAGGGGGTAAGCAATGTGTATGCATAAAGTAGTGTTGATCTAACTGTGGTCTACTTGTTATCTCAGCCTTGGTTCTGTAAGACACCTCTTAAGAAGTCTTTATCTTTTGAGGGGACAATCAGGTTCTCAAGAAATGACGACTTCTGATGGAAAGGGGCAGTCTCATTTTCTCTCATGGGTAATTTCTCCCATTTAGAAAGTAATCTCCCCATGGGGTGATTTGTCTGTGAGACTTTAATGTTCCTGGGATCCAAGGTGATTGCAGGTTTAACACAATGACTAGATACTTCCAGCTGCCTTTTTCATGGGTCTGAAATAGGATACTGTAAAAGCTGACAGTGAAACCTCAATTACACTTATCTTTGTGCCTTAAGACTTGACCAGAGATGAGATGGATCTAGGTGTCTTCAGGTTTTAGGTAAACACTCCTTGAATCATTAGCACACCTACATGCAGGGCTGAGCAGGAGTCTGACCCAAAGTAGAAGAGACAGACATAAAATGAAGGCAGAGATGTCAGGGTTACACCCTGATTTAGGTACCTTGTAGGCCAAGTGCAGAGTCAATGCTTTTTAGCAAAAGCAGTTTCTAAGTATCTGCTGTACATCCTCACTGCCAAATTACTACCTTTTAGAGTTGTTAGCTTCTTAATTTCTTCATGCGGCAACCAAGATCACAGACCACTCGTTCTGTTTTCTTCTTCTGCTGTCCTTGAGAGTCTCTTGTTTTCCCTCCTGAACTATTTACATATTCTTGCATGTCTCTGTCTGGGTTCCTCTAAACCTTGTTATTATAAGGTTGCACTCTGCTTGTCTAGTTGTCTGTTTTCTTTAACGTCAAAGTGCACTTCCTAAGGAGAAAACTGGACCTTACTCTCTCTTCTCTCCAGTGCTTAGCCGTACTTACTTTACTTTAAGGGAAGGAACTGTTCAGTAGTAGAAACTACTAAATAAAATGAACAAATGATTCCTTGGTTGAAAGTTAATCAAGATGCCACAGTTGGCCTTTTCTTCTACTTCAGGAAATCATACACTTTCATTTTAACTTCTCTGTAGAAAGTTCTCAGATTTTGTTGTAGATCTAATCTCTTGCTCTTTCTAGAATTCAAACACTGGAATTGTGATTGTTACCACTCCTGCAAATTGTATCATCAGCACCTCAGGACCAAAGAAAAATAATCTCTCCTATACCCATCGATTGGCTTTCTTTCTTCCCAGTTTTCTTTTTTGCAGTACTGGGGTTTGAACTCAGTGCCTTCACCAGCCTTTTTTTGTGATGGACTTTTTTTGAGATAGGGTCTCATGGAATTATGTGCTCAGGCTGGCTTCAAACCGCGATCCTCCTGATCTCTGCCTCCTGAGTAGCTAGGATTACAGGCATGAGCCACTGGCACCCTGCCCCAGTTTTCTTAATTCTGGCTAACGGTACTATGATTCTAAAAAATAAAAAAAAAAAAGTCCACATCACTGGTGACATCAAAAATTGCAGATGAGGAAGTGCGATGCTTCCTCTAAAATCAATTAATGAGCTCATAAATACTGTCAGAATCAACTTCTGCATAACTGGAATCCCTTTTTTCTTTTTTTAACTTATAAAAACTAGAGCAAGTTTTGGTAAAGAAAGCTACTGTTCTTGTGGTATAGATAGTGCCATGGCATTGTGAGCTGTCTGTCCACCATCTCTCACACCCCGTCAGCCATGGCTGTGAGGACAGCAATGTGCACTCTAATACCGAAAGAAGCAACACAGAACTTATGCTTAAAGAATTGTGATTACAGGTTTCAATTTGTTTGGCAGTTCCCTGAAGAACCGGCACAATGGCATACATGGGTTCACCTGACTTGGAGCATTCCCCAGGCTAGGGTGTCTTTCTGGGCAGCTTTACCAAAGTCATCTGACTGATGCTGCAGCCTGGGGTAAGGACAACAATTGGGACACAGACAGACTTAAGAGAGGTGATGATGGGAAAGGCTATACATGTGAATTAGGGATTTTGAAAAGCTGCTGTGTATACTGGGGAATCAAGAAAGGGCTAGACACATGCTCAAGAAAGGCTAGAAAAACCCAGAGGTTTTCACCTCTGGCTGGCCTACGAGGTCTGATCACACAATAGTGAAGTCTAATGCAGAACTGTAAATGGCTTGGCTAAGTGTTAAAAGAGTGCCCCTGCCTATAGCCAGTCTGCAAAAATGGGAAGGCTTTTTCTCCTCCTCCTCCTTAGTTTGGCTTTAGGTATTTAAGGAAACAATGTTAAAATACTAGGTGACTACTAAGCAAGTAAAAACAACTTCAGTGTGACTAAGAATACAAAAACTTTATAAAAGAGTTTAGAGAAATAAAATAAGACATTCTGAGATAAACAAAAGCTAAATGAATTTATCACTATTAGACCTGAGCTATAAAAACATTCTACAGGGAGTTTTCTGGGCTGAAAAGCATTCACACCAGACAGAAATATGACATCAGATGAAGAAATAAAGAACAAAAGTAAAGACAGCTACAGAGGTAAGCATAAAAGTCAGAAATGTTGCACTTCTGTTTGTGAGCCCTCTTTTATTCCTGCATGACTGAAATATTAATGTGTGAAGTGGTCATCCGGCCTAGGGCACACAATGCCTGAGAATGTAATGTATAGAGATGGGACTATGAGGGATCAAAGTTATGTATCTTGTGTGAGCTAAGCTAGTACTAATTCAACCTTGATCGTTAAAAGCTTACGATATTAAACCTAACCCCCAGGGAACCTAAGGAAAAACTAAAAAATATACAAAGAAAGAAGATGGGTAACCACAAAAGAAGGTAAAAACAAAGGGATTATGAGGAGGAAAAGGTATAAGCGATATAGGAAACAAATAGCAAAGTAAGTCCTTTCTCACCAGCAATTACTCTAAATTAGAAATGAATTAAACTGGCCATCTGAAAGATTGGCAGAATAGGTTATTTAAAAAAAAAAAAAAAAACCCCAACTTTATGCTATAAACAAGGCACTCACTTTAGATCCAAGATGAAAACAGGTTTTAAAGTGAAAGGATGGAAAATGACATTCTATGAAAATGATAACCAAAAGAGCTGGGATGGCCATTGAAATATGACATAATGCAGACTTTAAGACAAAGG